ACCGCTCTAGGGATAAGGTTAATCGGATTATACCTTCCTTGAGAGGAGTGGTGAAATGTTTGAGGCCATGGTTGGCTAGAGTCAGTCTGATTGTGGGAGTTGAACTAGCAAGTCCTTTGCATCCCCGTTTGCGGCAGCAGCGAAGTGTAGCAGACAGCTATGCGAGAACCTGATGTGATCTTAGTGACGAAGTTAAGTCTGCAGTATGTGAGTATTGAATGAAAGATGCTCTAAATGCCACAGTGAATACTGAGCTAAATAAAGTCCATCTTTGGCTAACTGCCAACAAACTCACCCTCAGCATTGATAAAACTTTCTATATTTTGTGTGGCAATAAATCCTCAAATCAAATAAATCATAGTACAAACAATACCCAAATTTGTAACAAAGTACATGGCAAATTCCTTGGGGTTCTCATTGATCACAAGCTGAATTTCCAGGGACACATTCTAAATATATAAAAGAAAGTTTCAAAAACTGTTGGCATTCTTTCTAAGATCAGATATTATGTACCTCGCCCTGCCCTGGTGACTCTTTATTACTCCCTCATCTATCCATATCTCAACTATGGTATTTGTGCTTTGGGGTTCTACTACCCAAAATCATTTACATCCTCTAATTACTCAACACAAAGCTGCTGTTAGGACAATATCCAACTCTGGCCCCAGACATCACTTGGTACCCCTACTCAAATCTCTGAATATGTTAGATATTAAGTCACTGCACATCCTCTCATATGTATTATACATATATAAAACGCTGAACTGTAATGTCAATCTTGACCTTAAAAACTTCATTGAAGGTTGTAACAAAACCCATGAGCACCACACCAGAAACAAATACCTTTTTGATATTCCAAGAGTACGACTTAATCAAACTAGAAATGCCCTACAAATCAAGAGACCCAGAATGTGGAATGACCTTCCTAATCATGTTAAAGACTGTACCTCTCTCAACCAGTTTAAATTAACTCCCTGTAACCTACCTTACCCCCTATAATGTCTACCCATGTCTGCTATTTTTAAACAATGCTGTTTGTCGACCAAATTGTAATTTTTGCTGTTTTTCTGCCATGTTCCCCCCTTTTTATTTTTTTTATTTTCTCAACGGATTTTATACTCTAAACTCAATTAGTATTAAGTTTTATTCTTTAGTGTTTTTCCTGCCCGGAGAAAGCGTAATAGTGGTTTTAGGCATTGTATGTACTAGCTCCATCAGTACAAATACAAATCTGTGATACAAATTTGTGATACAAATCCATCAATATTTGTATCACACTTTGTATGTATGTACTTTACCTGAATAAACATTTGAATTTGAATTTGAATTCTATTTGCATAGCGTGTTTACACAGATTAAGTTTGACTCTGGGGATATCAAAGACTAGAGCAGGATTTGCATTTAAGATCAGGATTTTGTAAATGTAATTGACACAAAAGAATGTGTAGACTGAGTTTATGTTTAGCATGTTTAAGGATTTAAACAAGGGGGCCTGAGTGTTGTCTGAAAGCAGAGTTTGTTATTATTCTGATGGCAGATATTTGCTGGGTGATGATGGACTTGAGGTGGTTTGCAGTGATTATCAACCTACTAGTACTGGAACTCACAGACTTTTACCTTAAACCAAGCCAGGCCAGTTGGAATGCCTGCTTCTAGGTGAGGGTCTTGACCCTCCGATGTTCACCGCCACAGTAGGGTTGCTAGATCCAAATTGCTAAAAGTAGCGAACAGGCGTCTAAAGGTAGCGAATTTGCAATAAGAATAGCCAAATTTTTTGTTTAGTGACTGATACGGGTTTCACAGTAGCTATATATTTTGATATATAGAGTACACTACACAATTTTAATTGTTTTATTAATATTATCTCAGCGTATCCTATTATCATATTTTTTAATATATATAACTTAACAATATTTACTGTATGAAGCACAATGAGTGTGGAGTCCTTCCATGTCTTCACAGTTGAAGATTATCAAGAAGATCTTCGTCTGCATCCACAACCTCATTCTTGTAAATTGCAGACTCATATTTAAGCACTGTCATTGGTGGTTCAAATGATGAGCAACAAGTTCCGTTTTCTTCAAGATATGTCAAGTAGCTGTATAAGTAGCTCAAATATAGTAGCTGTATAACTATACCTGAAATAAGTAGCTGCCTGAGGTGAGGCAGCTACTTATTAAAGGAATGCTTTTTTTATTTACATTATAAGCTGAGGCAGCTTATTTTATTTGAGGAATACTCAGCCGATTCCTCTACATTTAGCATGGAACAAATTTACGTCCAAGCCCTCTTCCTGTTACACAATTTGGCTGTGTGTAACCAAACCAGAAGTGCTCTACAAATCAAGGGACTCAGAATGTGGAATGACCTCCCGAATCATCTCAAAGGCTGTACCTCTCTCAACCAGTTTAAGAGTAAAACCAAGTACTACCTAATTAACTCCATGTAACCTACCTTACCCCCTAAATGTCAACCCCATGTCTTACTATTTTTTAAACAATGCTGTTTGTTCACCAGCGTGTACAATTGCTGATTTCTGCTATGTCCCCCCCCCATTTTTTATTTGTTATTCTTTCTTTCACCACAATTTATACCTAATCCCAATTACTATTAAGTTTTAGTCTGTGTTTTTTCCCCCACACCTTACCCAAAATGCTATGAGTATTAGTGGCTTTAGGTATTGTATGTACTAGCTCTGTTTATAAATCCAACATTGTTTGTAAATCAACTATGTATGTACTTTTCCTCAATAAAATTTATTTATTATTATTTATTTATTAATCAGTAAATAGTTATTAAAAGAAGGCACCAAGCTGGGAAGGCTATGTAGCACCATTGTGTGTAACAATAAACCAAATTTTTTTATAACAAATAATGCACCTGTATGGTAAAACAAATCCTGCCAGCTGTAAAAATATTGATGCTGTTATTTAAATAAAAAATACATTGAAAGAAATATTACTGGTTTATTTTTATCTTATCTTTTTGTACTGTACAGTATATACATGGAAGTGAAAAATTGAGACATAATGCACAATTTAATGAATGATTTAAAAGAAATATGACTATTACATATCATCATGAGATCCTAATGATCCATGGTTAACATGATTTAATAAATATAATACTGGTAATAATACAAAAAAATTTAAAATCTTTATTACTGATTTTTTTTAAGAAGCTTAGGTATACACAGCAATATGCTACTACCCTATTCTATATGGAATATTACACAGTGTAGATAAAACACTAGCTATAAGTTTATCTAATACTCACAGGATGGTTAGGCATACATGGAATCAAGGGAGAAAATACCAGCCTCAATACAAAAAACAAATCAACTCTGACTAAACAACAACTTCACGATTTTCACAAGAGGTAAGCACTGAATCATGGAAACATTATATTATAATTAATATTACCAGTTTCTACAAGGCTCCTCTCAAACAATGTATTTTTTACCATGCTTAGGTATACACAGCAATGTGCTGCTTCCCTATCCTGTATGAAGGACCACACAGTGTAGATCAAAAACCAGCTACAAGCTCATCTAACATCCTCACCTCACAGGATGGCCATTCATACATGGAATCAGGAGAGACAAAATACTTAAGGCTCTTAGCCCCCATTGGCAAAATCTGGGTGCAGCACAAGAATATCTTCCAATATTCCTGAGTGTATGAAGTAATTACAGAGCTCAAAGTACCTCATACCATTTGGTATGAAGTCACTGATAACTGGGCAATCACAGATATAGCGTTGGAGAATATGTTCTCTCAAGTAGGACTGAAAACAGATGTTTTTTCCACCAAGAGGGCTATAAACCCATGGAACCGCCTACCTGCTGAAGCCGTAAATGCCAAATTCCAGCAAAAAAATATCATTAAGACAATTGGCGGTCCCTTTAACAAGCCGCCGGCTTTCTGTCCTTGTCGAGGTCACTAGATAGTTAGTGGCTCTTGGGTAAATTCAGTAAATATATACAATAATTGTCAGCGCATCTTCCGGGCAACAAGGGCAGCTACACAGTATATTTTAGAATTACGTAGGTAAACAACAAATGTAACATATTTGCTTACTACAATGTTGGTGCTGGCTGTAGAAGTTGAAAACACATAGTTTTACTTCGAAATATACTAATTACGAAATATTCAAAATATACTAATATAAACCACCCATATTAGACATCAGAGGTGGGTGTGGCAGCCACCAAAACAGTGTAGATAGGTATCCATTATGTTATGACCATGTTCTTTATACAGCAAAATTATGGTGATATGTATATGAATGTATAATAATACACAGGGGGTGCCAGTTGTAACCACCACCAACAAAAAGTGGTTCAGTAGGGGCGTCTCTATGGACGGGAGTAAAAAACGGGTTTTGCACAGTAGGGTGGTCCCCTCTATCCCATCCATCACCTGACAGGCTTGACTGTGTCGTAAGAGAGGTCCACACCTCTCTCCCAAATGGCCTTAAAGGTGCTTAAACTCAAGTACTATATATATATCATTAATAAGAGCTTTATACAGTCTAGGCTCTTAAATAAGAGTATTTAAGGAGTATTAAATTATAAATCTCCCTAATGAGGATAAAAAAACATCAAATAATATATTAATGCTTTTATTAGGTAAAGACCACAAATAATGCATAAGAAGTTAATTATTATGATAAACAGTATTATGATAGTTAATAATGGCAGTTAATAATGGTAGTTATGGGTCCCCCTCCTCCTCCCCATCCTCATCTGAGTAGAATTCTGACGTCTCTTCATCAATAATGAGTGGGGAAAGATCTTGACCAACACCCTCCTCACTTGGAGGTGGGGAGTGTGTTGGGCGGTTGCCTTTGGATTGAGGGTCCTTCCCAACATCAGGGGTGTTCTGAAAGAGGTGGGGGAAAAAACTGTATAATTTATAGTGTGTGTGTAAAGGTTTTTATAGGATTATATCTTTTATTAGAAAAATATTCTATTTTCTCTAAGAACAATTTTCACATACCTCTCCCACTTCTGGTGCAGCCTTGTGTCCTCTACAGCAGGCGTCGTCAATTAGGCTGCGTAACATCATCTTGTCTAGGGCAGACCCCCCACGTAGAATTACTACTCTACAAATATGCACGGGTCCAAAGAACTGCATTGAAGAAAAATAAAGAAACAAAATAGTGGATATAAAAAACTTTTGCTGTAGAAATAAAATAAAATAAAATAAATCTGTTACAAGAAAGTGTGGGCAATACTAACCAGGCCCTTCAAGGACTTCAATCTTCCCAGCAGGTGTTTTTGGAGAGACACCTTCCATTTTGTAGGTGTTGGTGGTCTTCTGGAAAGGTTGTGTGTGAGAGGGGTTTTTATAGGAGTAATACCCACCCCCTCCCCCCCCCCTAGAAAGTTATTTAGGTTGTCTAGCTAACAAAAATATTCCCTACACCACCTATAAGAACCAACCCCCATACCTCTACAAAATGTTCTAACACAATGTGGTTTCATAGGAAAATATCGCCTCGCATAAGTGAGGGCTCGTTTATCGTTTAATTTTAAAGTAACGCTGGAAAATACATTATGTAAGTAATGTACTGTCGAAGGCAAGCCCAGGTGGCTTATTCTGTGGACAAACATGATGCAATATAGACCGCAGACAAGGCTAAAATCACTCTGGAGTCTGTAGCACATTCCAAACACCTCTGTTATTTTGTTAGTTTTAATAAATCCCTCAAAATAATTCCCATAACTAACCGGCGACATTGCATAACTATAAAAAAAAAAATCGACGTTTAACTTTATCAACATAAATACCTACCCAATGTCCCATAGTTATTCTACTGTGTGATGGTAAAATATTAGTTATAAGGGCTATTGGTTTCATTGTTGTGATATTTAAATGTTCTATCTCATCTGCATTATAACAACCTAGGTAGAGCATGCGACCGCCTAGATTATTTTTTAATTTAATATTTATATCATAACAATTCATTATGTTTTTTTTTTTAAGCCAGCACATCACATCGAACAGTTCTCTGCCCGTCGATGGATAGTACCCCGGTCGTTTCCCCAAACAGTAAAACCAGTCTGTTATATGTAACACCACCACCAAATTCAAGATCCATACGCAAGTTGCCAGATTTCTCCACAGGAAGGGAATCCTTTGTTTGAATGGTGCTTAAGTCAAAGGCGAATATTGATATTCTCTTATTTAAAGTGTCATAGGCTAGTAGTGAGTCATGCTCTCTATCCATAATGTCTTCAAAGTTTCGTAATAAAGATGTGAATAGTGATTGTCGAAGTCACCACCAATTCGGTAAATTGCATTATTGTTCAAATACACGGCGATACTTTTCAGCTTTGCATTTTTAAAATATAAACCATTACCTTGGTGAAGACCTGCATAATAATTCATTGGAACAATTACCATATATATATCTTGTGAGGAATTACTTGGGCCCATGGCTGGTCAATTAAGAGCCTAGTTTGATTCCCTGCTATGACATAGGTTTTGGGAATGGTTCTATTGAAAGTATAGCTTATGGGGTCAGGGGATGCTAACAGTGAGCTGTTTAAGGCCAGGTAAGCACTTAGGTAGGGGGTACACCCGTGTGACCGATAATATAGCATAATCCATAGGCATTCAATACTTAGAGCCGTCGGTCACGCTTGTATTTAGCACCCAAGCGTGAGGAGAGAGTTCCAACCTTAGACGTACATATATTGTCCAATACATATTGATCTAGAGTTGTTATATCCAATAATAGGGGGAAACACATTGACAAACCTTTACTTTTTAAATCGGAAATAATTTTTTTATCCTTGATGCTTGCTCCGGTAAAATAAGTATTAGTGAATTCATTAGTGATTATACCATCTTCATCATTCCAGTCCTTACGAAAGGCTCCAATTCTCCCCCAGGAAGACATTTTTGATGGAGGCATGGAGGTAATTAATTTAATAAATGACCAATAATTAAAATTAGTATTTGTTTCAACTACCTGCTCTTCTAAAAAAACCTGAACACCTTTAAACATGGTATTTGACAACCCATTCACAAATTCCATATGGTCATCCTCTTCCAATTTTGTGGTATCGTCATCTTTCGTTAAAGATACCTTAAAATCTATTACAATATTAGCTAGATCTAAGAAGGCTCCCTGTGTGCCAGGAATGCGGAATTTTAAGTAATTATCCCGCAAACGTTGATTAATGGGGAGGTTGACAGGTAGAATGTCTATTTGTTGTGTAGAGGCAATTGAACTCTCCACATTGCGTATTCTGTTACTTCTAAGAAATTAGTCAATAATACTGGAGCTATAATATTCTAGTGGTATTTTCACCCCAGCTCCACTAGCTGACGTCATGATCCCCCCGAAAGCCGAAGTATGACTGCTTACGATAGTGAAAATACGTCATCTTTATAGCCAAGACCTCGTTTACATTTTTTTATTTTTTTTTATTCCCTTAGCAAACCTGAACCAGTGCCTGGAAAAAATAAGCTCAGTGGCACTAGAAATATGTTCAAACCGCATACCCCTAAGAAAAAAGAGAAAGAGATGCAGATTGGAACGGGAACGTCGTTCCCTATATAGGCGAAGAAAACGAATCGCGGAACAACTTGAGAGTCGCACCCTATCTCAAGAACGGCGAAGAAGGTTAGGTAGAGAAATAGAAACAATTGAACTCAAGCTATAAGAATCATACAAAACCCAGGAGAGGCAAAGAGAGCAAAAGGCCATCAGTGAAATAGAGAGAAATCCGAAATATTTTTTCTCCTATGCAAAATCAAGATCAAAAACCATATCTAGTATCGGGCCCCTGCGAAAGGGAGATGGAACTTTCACCGATGACAACAAAGAAATGAGCGAGTTACTGAGGAAGCAGTACGACTCTGTTTTCAGCGAGTCACTAAACGCACTAAAGATTGATAACCCAATTGAATTTTTCATGGATATGATACCAACATCAAATCATATATCAGACGTCACCCTATCCCCACTGGATTTTGAAGATGCCATAAACAGTATGCCTATGCACTCTGCACCAGGCCCGGATTCTTGGAACTCCATATTCATCAAGAACTGTAAAAAACCACTATCGCAGGCCCTTCACATTCTGTGGAGACAAAGCCTAGATACTGGCGTTATCCCTGACACACTAAAAACAGCAGAGATAGCACCACTCCATACAGGAGGAAATAAGGCAGAGGCAAAAAATAATGACCGATAGCACTAACATCGCACATCATAAAAAAATTTGAGAGTGCTAAGAAGTAAGATCACAAAATACATGGAATCACAGCAACTCCATAACCCCGGACAACATGGTTTCCGAACAGGGCGCTCTTGCCTGTCGCAGTTGCTGGACCACTATGATATGGCATTAGATGCTGTGGAAGACAAACAAAACGCTGATGTAATTTATACAGATTTCGCAAAGGCTTTTGATAAATGTGACCATGGTGTTATTGCACATAAAATGCGTTCAAAAGGAAGTACCGGAAAAATAGGCAGATGGATCTACAATTTTCTGACTAACAGAACCCAATGTGTAATAGTCACCAAAATAAAATCCAGCCCATCAACCGTGAAGAGCTCATTCCCCAGGGTACTGTGCTTGCCCCAGTACTTTTTCTCATCCTCATATCGGACATAGACAAGAACACAACCTATAGCACTGTATCATCCTTTGCAGATGACACTAGGATCTTCATGAGAGTAGGCAACATAGAGGACACGGCAAACCTCCAATCAGATGTAGATCAGGTCTTTCTATGGGCTACAGAAAATAATATGGTGTTTAACGAAGATAAGTTCCACCTCATGTGCTACGGAAAAAATAAAAATATAAAAACGGAAACCACGTACAAAACTCAGGCAAATCATAACATAGAACGAAAAGGCAATGTAAAGGATCTGGGTGCACTCATGTCGAAACACCTTACCTTTAAAGAACACAATAAAGTAGCCGTCACAACTGCAAGAAAAATGACAGGTTAAATAACAAGAACTTTTCACCCTAGAGATGCTGTACCGATGATGATAATTTTCAAAAAGGCTTGTGCTCTCTAGAGTGCAGTACTGTTGCACTGTTACGAACCCGGATCCAGCGTCCGAGCCCGGAGCAGTGACGACCGCGCCATCTGTGGGTCAGCTCCCGAAACCCCCTCCAAACGGACGACGACACCTGGTGAGGACGACGTGTACTGGCCTCGAGGGCCAGTTTCCAGTCCTGTTCAGCGCTCAACACAGCCGCTGCTGACCTCTGGTGAGGTGGTGCTCAGACACCAGCGCCATCTATGGAGTGGATAGGTGGGCGTTTGTGTCTGAGCCTGTAAGTGAGGTGCCTTAGTGTGTCCCAGTTATTGATGACGTGTCTGCTTACAGAGTCGACCTGGGACTGCTGTGATGGAAGTTGAGTCAGTCTACCCAAGGCAGCCGTCCCCATACCTTGTGCTTTGCAGTAGCAGCTGTGAAGTCGTCCCCCGGAAGAACACTGTGGTGTTACCCTGCCAGTGAAGTGGCAGTTGAAAGGATCGTCGTTCCCGGGACCGACTGCTGGAGACGTTTATCCACTGGGGTATTGAGGACAGGAGAGTGATTTGTGGTATCACACGAGGCTCCTGTCTAGGGCGTTACCCTTATATCGTTCGTGGAGTGGCCTGACCAGCCTTGCTGATCCGGAACCTGCCAGCAGACCTGCTGGACTTGTGGTTGACGGCCTCCACGGCGGTGCCCCCAGTGGGACTGTGTTTTGGCTGGCCTGTGTCTGGGGTAGACTCAGCTTGGTCGAAGGATTCGTCAAGGGACCACGAAAGCACCGAGGACTCAGCACCGAGAGTCTGCATCCAGAGTCTTCAGCAGAAGACGCTTGTGTATTTCCCCTGTACAGTGTTAATACCCCTCCCCCTGTGCACTCTTTTATATATTATTTATTTGGTGATGGTAACAATTATAATCTTAAGTTCTTAACTTTCTTTCCCTTCCCCTTTTAAGTTTCTTGCGTCACGGATCACATCCCTTGATAGCCACTACTGGCTTGGGGCCGGATACAACTTCCTCTAACAACATCAGAGTAAGAACCCCG